AGTGAGATCATTATGATTTGCATTAGAAGAACCAGATAATTTTAAATTTGAACTCATGGGGGTGGCAGCAGGTTTACATGCAAGGAAACCGGTGTCAGTAAGGATGTCTAGTGCATATTTCCTTTGGCACATATTGATGCCTTGTTTGGAATGAGAAAATTCCAATCCCAATATATACTTAAGATTTCCTAAGTCCTTTATTGTAAAAGAGTCATGAAGATGATCTTTTATTCTTGTGATTTTAGAAATATTGTTGCCACACAAGATTATGTCATCAACATAGACTAATAAAGCCACAAAATCAGAAGTATCAACATTGTACAAAGTAAAAAGATAACAATCAGCCACTGATTGTGTAAAGCCATAAGCAAGTAAACAAGTTGTAAGTTTTTGAAACCATTGTCTAGATGCTTGCTTTAATCCATATAAGCTTTTAGTTAATTTGCAAACCATATTTTCAGAAGATTTTGAATAACTAGGTGGAGGTTTCATGTAAACTTCCTCATCAAGATCTCCATGAAGGAATGCATTGTTTACATCTAATTGATGTATATGCCATGATTTAATGGATGCAAGAGCAATTAAGAACCTCACAGTGGTTATTTTTGCAACAGGTGAAAAAGTTTCAAAGTAGTCAATGCCTTCTTCTTGAATATAACCTTTTGCTACTAACCTAGCTTTATATCTCTCAATGGACCCATCAGATTTGTATTTGATTTTGAAAACCCACTTACATCCTATACAGTGTTTTCCACTAGGCAAATTTGTCATTTCCCAAGTATGTGTTTGTTCTAGTGCATCTATTTCTTTTTGCATTGCTGCAATCCATAGAGGATCCTTTGCAGCTTCTGAAAAAGATTTTGGTTCTTTTTGAACAGAAATGGATGCAGTGAAACAAGCATGGTTGTCTGACAAATGTTTAGTGGATAAAAAATTTGAAATAGGATGTTTGACAGATGTTTCAAAAGTGCTGAGAGATGTGTTAGAAGCAAGTGGTGGTTGAGATGATAAGTTTGGAAGGCAATGATTGTATATATTCAGATATGATGGAGGTAATTGATCTTCTGAAAGGTAATGTTTGGTTTGCATTTGGAACAGAATGTCCTGATTGGTTTTGGGTAGCAACAGAATTTCCTGACTGTGTTTGGTTTGAGGACTGAGGTATAATGGATTGTGGGGATGTATGTATGGTGTGTAAGTCTGTGTCATATGTGAAAGGAGGAGGAGAAGGGAACAATAAGTCAGTGGTTTCAGGTGGTGGGTTCTTGAAAAGAAACACATCCTCATAAAAAAGCACATTCCTTGAAATTATTGTTTTCTTAGTATCAAGGTTATAAAGTCTATATCCTTTATAACCAATGGGATACCCAAGAAGAATACAATTAGAGGCTCTTTTGTCAAATTTGGATCTGTGTGCAGTCAGAGTTGAAACATAACAAAGAGAACCAATCACTCTAAGGTGATCATAAGATGGTTTCTTTTTGTAAAGCATTTCAAAAGGAGTTTTGTTTTTCAAAACAGGAGTTGGAACTCTATTAATAAGATGTGTAGCAGCTAACACACAATCAATCCAGAAACAAATAGGCAAGTGAGCATGAAATAAAATGGCTCTAGCAACTTATAACAAGTGTTGATGTTTCCTTTCCACCCTACCATTTTGTTGAGGTGTCTCAACACAACTGGTTTGGTGTAAAATACCTTTTGAAGTGAAAAAATCATTTAAAGAAAATTCTGTACCATTGTCAGTCCTTATTATTTTGATTTTTGTATTGAACTGAGTTAAAACCATGTTATGAAAATGAAATAAGGACTGTTTGGTATCAGATTTTAGTTTTAATGGGTAAATCCAAGTGACCCTACTAAAATCATCAACAATAGTAAGAAAATATTTATAACCATCATGAGAGGCAAAAGAAAATGGTCCCCAGACATCACAATGGACTAAATCAAATGGAGCAGATGCAACTGAAACACTATTTGGAAATGATAATTTTCTTAGTCTTGCAAAGTGACATACATCACAAGGAATAGATGACATGTGTGTACAAGAGTCAGAAATAATGTTCAGCTGTTGTATTTTAGAGTATGATAGATGACCCAATCTATGGTGCCATGGAACAGAGTTTGTACTTGAAGTATTGGCAATTACAGGTAAATGAAATTTTACATGTAAATTGTCTTTGTTTACAAAAGATGTACAAGTGTCAGGAGCAATAGACATGTAGTATAGACCATCTTTCAAATCAGCAGAACCAATCATTCTATTGTTGGTTAGGTCCTGTAAAATGCAAGAAGATGATGCAAATTTGACCATGCATTTGTTTGATGAAACCAACTTAGACACAGACTTACACACCATACATACATCCCCACAATCCATTATACCTCAATCCCCAAACCAAACACAGTCAGGAAATTCTGTTCCTACCCAAAACCAATCAGGACATTCTGTTCCAAATGCAAACCAAACATTACCTTCCAGAAGATCAAACAGACCAGTTAAACCTCCATCATATCTGAATATATACAACCGTTGCCTTCCAAACTTATCATCTCAACCACCACCTGCTTCTAACACATCTCTCAGCACCTTTGAAACATCTGTCAAACATTCTATTTCAAATTTTTTATCCACTAAACATTTGTCAGACAACCATGCTTGTTTCACTGCATCCATTTCTGTTCAAAAAGAACCAAAATCTTTTTCATAAGCTGCAAAGGATCCTTTATGGATTGCAGCAATGCAAAAAGAAATAGATGCACTAGAACAAACACATACTTGGGAAATGACAAATTTGCCTAGTGGAAAACACTGTATAGGATGTAAATGGGTTTTCAAAATCAAATACAAATCTTATGGGTCCATTGAGAGATATAAAGCTAGGTTAGTAGCAAAAGGTTATACTCAAGAAGAAGTGACTACTTTAAAACTTTTTCACCTGTTGCAAAAATAACCACTGTGAGGTTCTTAATTGCTCTTGCATCCATTAAATCATGGCATATACATCAATTAGATGTAAACAATGCATTCCTTCATGGAGATCTTGATGAGGAAGTTTACATGAAACCTCCACCTGGTTATTCAAAATCTTCTGAAAATATGGTTTGTAAATTAACTAAAAGCTTATATGGATTAAAGCAAGCATCTAGGCAATTGTTTCAAAAACTTACAACTTGTTTACTTGCTTATGGCTTTACACAATCAGTGGCTGATTGGTCTCTTTTTACTTTGTACAATGTTGATACTTCTGATTTCCTGGCTTTATTAGTCTATGTTGATGACATAATCTTGTGTGGCAACAATATTTCTAAAATCACAAGAATAAAAGATCATCTTCATGACTGTTTTACAATAAAGGACTTAGGAAATCTTAAGTATATATTGGGATTGGAATTTGCTCATTCCAAACAAGGCATCAATATGTGCCAAAGGAAATATGCACTAGACATCCTTACTAACACTGGTTTCCTTGCATGTAAACCTGTTGCCACCCCCATGAGTTCAAATTTAAAATTATCTGGTTCTTCTAATACAAATCATAATGATCTCACTGATGCAACTGCATACAAAATATTAGTTGGTAGACTCTTGTATTTGACTATATCCAGGCCTGATTTGAGCTATAGTGTTCAAGCACTTAGCCAATTTATGTCAAAGCCAACCACTACACACCTTGCTGCTGCTCATAGGGTGCTCAGGTATGTTAAAGCTACAGTAGGTAAAGGTATGTTTTTCCCCAGAAACTCCTCTTTACAATTATCAGCATATAGTGATAGTGACTGGGCCAGCTGCATAGATACAAGGAAGAGCATCACAGGATATTCAGTTTTCTTAGGAGATTCTTTAATTTCATGGAAATCCAAGAAACAAAATACAGTTAGTAGGTCTAGTGCAGAGGCAGAATATAGGGCTTTAGCTAGTACATCATGTGAGGTGCAATGGCTATTATACCTACTCTCTGATTTGCACATTCCTCATTCTTGTCTTGTGTTGATCTTTTTAGATAGTATTTCAACTATAGCAATTGCAAACAACCCTTTATTTCATGAAAGGACAAAATATATTCAACTTGATTGCCACCTCATAAGGGAGAAGATTGCAGCTGGGATAATCAAACTTCAACATGTTCCAAGCAAAGATCAACTGGCAGATTTGTTCACAAAGGCAGTTTCACACCAAATCTTCAATCACTTGTCATCCAAGCTCAACATGAATAACATCCAACCCTGATCAATCGTGCTAAGAGCCTTCTCTAATTGAAAAACCCTAGGTCCGCTACTCAAGGCATATCGAGTTTTCAACTCATCCCAAACAGATTTCGCCGAAGTAAAAAATAACAGAGACTGGCGAATCTCTTTGCAAATGGAATTTAAAAGCCAAGAGAGGACAAAATTATTAGCACGTAACCACGCAGGGTAGAGATTAGAGTTAGGGTTACAGTCGAAGCAGGAACAGATATGGATCCGTCGATAAATCCGCCTTTGTTCTTTACGCTCAACGCCATCGCGACAGCACGCAACTAGGAGACGTAATTCTCGCCGTTGAATAACTCGTCAACGATGAGCGCGCCAGGATTGTCACTGGCGTGCATAAAATACGGAGAGAATGGATCGTCAGACGGATTCTGAAACACAATAGCCATATCGCTCACAGTAGACGAAGATAGGTCAGCAGAAGTCGGTCGAAAATCAGGCAATCGTATTGCCAGCGATTGATACCATATTAGAGTTTAGGGTTTTCTGTGGAAAGAAAATCGACGGAGAGAAAGAGAGAAAAGGAAAATTTGATAAAATGAATTGAATTGAATCATCCTATTATTCTCTTGTACAAGCCTTTTCTACTAGGCATTATAAACTAAAGAGAAAGTGTTATTATGGTAATAGCAACTATACAACCTCTATTTTCTCATCTTAACAACACATATTCTAATATCGCCGAAACCCCCGAACGACCTCAAAGTCGGTCAACCTCGTCGTCGCAATCATCGCAGCCGACTTCGTCATCCCCAAAATAATTTTGACGTCCCCGATCTCAGACGTCGGACATCTAGCAAATCCGACCTCACCTCTTCAACCTGACAGTCACCGGAGACCGACCCTGCCATCTCCGACTTCTTAATCGCTGAACCGAGCCTCTTCACCAACTTCACTTCTCGGTTGTCGGGTACACATCTGACCCCAGTTTAAAGACGATACGAGCTCGGGTCCAAAATAGCAGTCGGGCCAACTTCTAACCCTTGCCCGCTAGCCAATACCGATTTCACAGCCGAGTCCCCGATCTCATGAGCGCCACGAGGCCGACCTTGCTTTGCCTAAACCTCGAAACCCGACCTCAGTCGCCGGGGCTGAGCCCTTCACAACTAGATCGACCAATTAGCCGTCGAGCTCCTCCTAGTCGGGCCGACCCCGACATCGCCAATCAGCCACCAAGCATTTTCGTTCCCGAAATTCGAACTTGGTAGCCCTCACAATTCCCGACATCACGACAACCGACCTCACCGCCGGGGCCCGACTTCACCGTCGTACCCGACATCCTCATCCCCGACCTCAATGGTCGAGGTCGACCTGCAACCAAACTCCGACTTCCAATTCGGCGATCTTACCTCCAAGCTCGACCGGCTTCTCAACTTACCAACTGCCGAGCTATGTAACCACAGTCCGTCCGACTTCACCTCAAAGCCGGACCGAGGTCTGCAGCACCGAGCCCGACCTCGAGGCCGGGCCGACCTCTCTGACACCGAGCCCGTTCTCGAAGCCAGGCCGACCTCCTCACCTTTACCGATGTCGCAACCGCCGAGACGATAGATCCGACGTTATCATTTTCGATTGATTTCACACCACCACCGTCAGACCATCAAACCTTTGCCGGTGCCGACCACGCCTCCTCCGACCGACCGTTCCCATCGCCGAACACACGATCAGTCTTGGGGTCTCCGTTTTCAAATTGTCGAGCAACAAGTCGGATGATTCGCTCTCACATACGGTTAACCCCAATTGATAGAAGGTTGAAGATGTGAGTTGGGCTGCTATTTCCCCGCAGAAGTATGAGTACAAAAGATCAAATTGAGGCAAAATATGAGAAATGCGCGTGTAGGCTAGGAGGTTGGGAAAACCTAGATGAAACTTGGGCCTATTGAGTTAATGAATATGGGCTTATAAATTTGTTTTTAGAAAATGTAAAAGTAGTGGGCCTTGAAAAGTTTTGTAATAGCTAGAGATAGGCTGAGAGTACCAGGGCTAATAAGGAATCGAAATTTCAAAGTCGAAGAGCACAACTGGAACCTAAAGAATAGAGGCAGAGAAAGAGCCGACCTCTCCGGACTAACATTCTTAGGCTTGCACCTCGCACCGGCCTAAGGTAATCCAATTCCCAATCTCATTCTAAATACCCTAATATATATATATATATATATATATACATGTATGTAACGTGTATATTTATTTTTGGTACCTGTGACCAATCAAGCAACCGTGGATATTATGCTAAAATCCACAGAGGAGGATTTGAAGACTTGGCCTCATAGGTGAGGAGGCTATGATGATCTACTAATTAACTCTAAACTGAGGGATTTTTCTAAACCTTTTTTTTTTTTTT